TCCTGGACTTGTAAGTCTAATTCTTTCACCAGGTGGGGGAAGTTTTCTGTCACTATTTCTTTCAGTATGTTTTCAATATCTTGCTCTTTCTCATCTTCTGGGACCCCCATAATTTTGATGTTGGTTCACTTGAAGTTGTCCCAGAGGTTTCTTATATTATCTTCAATTTTCTGGATTCTCTTGCCTTCTAGCTTCTGTGGAGGAGTGTCTTCTGGCTCGTTATGCTCCAAATCTTTGACTTGATTCTTGCAATCTTCCATTCTGTTTTTAGGACTCTGTATAATATTTTTTATTTCAGTCAATGCATTCTTTATTTCTTGTTGATCTCTTATCATTTCTTGTTGATCCCTTATCATTTCTTGTTGATTCCTTATTAATTCTAGTTGATCCCTTTTCATATCCTCATAGGTCTTATCCATCTTTTCTAGGAAATTCTTGAAAAACCTTATAAGCGTAGATTTGAACTCTATATCCAGTTGCTTTTTGTCCTCCATTTCTTTGGTTTGTGATTTATTTCGTCTTTGCATTTTCGCAGCTTTCCTGAGTTGGTAGCCTTAAAAGTCTCTGTGTTCTGCTTGGATGGGACGGGGTTTCAGGGTGGAGCCTGCAGCTTTGGCTTCCGTCAGCCCTGCCCTATGCGGGTCCTTCAGTACTAGTTGCAAGCGCCTCTGAGAGAAAGGTGCCCTCGATTTTCGCCTGCTGCCAAACAGTCTATGTTCTCCCCCAATGAGCCCGGTATTGGGGTTCAGTTCAGTTGGAAGTGGAGTTGGAGGTGGCGTTCAGAGCAGACTGGAGCCCCAGTCTCCTTCCCGCCAGAGCACTCCCGCAGCACAGCGGGCCGTCCCTTCTCTGAGCGCACTGTGCGCGCTGCCGGGACCTCCTTTCGCCTCTTCCCCGGGTTCCGCCTCACAGCCCAGCTCCCTCTGTGTGAGCCTGGGTCCCCGGGGTCTGACCTAGAACTGGGGTTCAGAGCAGTTGGAACTGGGGCCCAGCACAGTCGGAGTTTTATCTCCTTCCCGCTGGGGAACGCCAGCCAGGCACTCGGCCTCCCTCCTCTCCGGCTCCGTCCTCTCTGTGCGCTGCGTGTCTCCGTAGCTTGGGCTTTTCCAGCTCCTCCGCGCTTCCTTCCGGTTTTCTTCTTGCTTCTCGTTGTAGAATTTCCAGTCAGTCGACTTTCCTGTAGTTCTGGGTAATGTCCATTTTATATTTTAGTTGTATTTTATTGAAATTGTTGTGTGCAGATGCGGCTAGGTGTTTACCTGTCAGCCATCTTGGAACGACTCCTTCCACTGTTTCACATTTTTATTACAAGCTGCCTGGCAGAGCTTCCTGGCAGAGCTCCTTGGGGACGAAAGGAAAAATTACCCTGCCCTGCTCCCAGGGCACACAGTGCAGCTGGCCAACCCATCCAGGCAGTCTTCACGCCCCACGCCCCGTGCATTCTGCAAGAGGGCGGCTTCCTGGCCTCCATCCAGGAAGCACTCATCCTTGGAATGGCACTGAGAGCACGGGGCACGTTGCCTGCCCAGACAGGACTCCCCGGGACCCCTGCTTTGCCCACAGCCCGGGGGGGTCATGTCCGTCGTCATCATATCCCTGGCTGTCCATGGCAGGGCCACTCACAGCCCCCAGGCCCATTCTGGCCAACTCGACTCTGGAGGTTTGGTCTGGAACATGGATTCAAGTTTGTTTGGTATCAAAGAGGTTGTTTCAAGGGGTGCCATATGTGCCTCTTAGATGCATAAGTGCCCTCTGCTCCAGGCGGCAGCACAGGTGATCAGGTTATCTGTCCTTAGGTGTGTCCCACAGGTTGTTTCCATGAGCTGATGTGTGTCCTGTGAACAGATGAGTGTTCCCTGGACATGTGTGTGTCCTGAGGCCAGGTGTGTATTCCATGGTCACGTGTGTGTACCATTGGCTTGATGTGTGTTCCATGGCCAGGTGTGTGTACCATTGGCCCGATGTGTGTTCCATGGCCAGGTGTGTATTTCATGGTCATGTGTGTGTTCCATTGGCTCGGTGTGTGTTCCATGGCCAGGTGTGTGTTCCATGGGCTCGGTGTGTGTTCCATGGCCAGGTATGTGTTCCACGGCCACATGTGTTCCATGGCCACGTGTGTATTCCATGGCCACGTGTGTGTTCCATTGGCTCGGTGTGTGTTTCATTGGCTCAGTGTGTGTTCCATGATCAGGTGTGTGTTCCTCGACCACGTGTGTTCCATGGCCACATGTGTTCAATGGCCAGGTGTGTATTTCATGGCCACATGTGTGTTCCATTGGCTCGGTGTGTGTTCCACAGCCAGGTGTGCATTCCACGGCTACGTGTGTTCCATGGCCACATGTGTATTCCATTGGCTCGGTATGTGTTCCATGATCAGGTGTGTGTTCCACGGCCATGTGTGTGTTCCATTGGCTCGGTGTGTGTTCCACGGCCAGGTGTGTGTTCCACGGCTACGTGTGTTCCATGGCCACGTGTGTTCCATGGCCACGTGTGTTCCATGGCCACGTGTGTTCCATGGCCAGGTGTGTATTCCATGGCCACATGTGTGTTCCATTGGCTCGATATGTGTTCCATGATCAGGTGTGTGTTCCACAGCCAGGTGTGTGTTCCACGGCCAGGTGTGTGTTCCATGGCCATGTGTGTGTTCCATTGGCTCGGTGTGTGTTCCACGGCCAGGTGTGTGTTCCATGGCCAGGTGTGTGTTCCATGATCAGATGTGTGTTCCATGGCCAGGTGCGTATTCCATGGCCACGTGTGTATCCCATGGCCACGTGTGTGTTCCAAGGCCAGGTATGTGTTCCACGGCCAGGTGTGTGTTCCACGGCTACGTGTGTTCCATGGCCACATGTGTTCCATGACCAGGTTTGTATTCCATGGCCACATGTGTGTTCCATGGCCATGTGTGTTCCACGGCCACGTGTGTTCCATGGCCACGTGTGTTCCATGGCCACGTGTGTTCCATGGCCAGGTGTGTATTCCATGGCCACATGTGTGTTCCATGGCCAGGTGTGTGTTCCACGGCCAGGAGTGTGTTCCACGGCCATGTGTGTGTTCCATTGGCTCAGTGTGTGTTCCACGGCCAGGTGTGTGTTTCATGGCCAGGTGTGTGTTCCATGATCAGATGTGTGTTCCATGGCCAGGTGCGTATTCCATGGCCACGTGTGTATCCCATGGCCACGTGTGTGTTCCACGGCCAGGTGTGTGTTCCACGGCTACGTGTGTTCCATGGCCACATGTGTTCCATGACCAGGTGTGTATTCCATGGCCACATGTGTGTTCCATGGCCACGTGTGTTCCACAGCCACGTGTGTTCCACGGCCACATGTGTTCCATGGCCACATGCGTTCCACGGCCAGGTGTGTGTTCCATGGCCACGTGTGTTCCACGGCCACGTGTGTGTTCCATGGGCACCTGTGTTCCATTGCCAGGTGTGTGTTAGATGCACTCCGCCAGACAGGGCAGGTGCTCTGCTGCTCTTGCCCTCACACCCTGAGCTTGCTGTAGTCTCCTCTCCGGTGCCCTCACTGTTGGTGGGTATATGACAGGACTGGCTTGGCTGTCCAGGGTGCTTCCATTTTTAGGATCACAGTAGCCTGACTGACTGGGCAGCTGGCCATCAGGCAGCCATGTTTCTTCTTTGGCCAGGTGGGCTGGACCCCACGGACATTTTCTGATGCTAAGAGATTTTCAAATGAAACACAGATGCAGCTGCTGCCCTAAGCTTCCGGAGATGGAGGGTGTCCCGGATTCCCGCAGCTCACCAATCTACTGAGATGATTGTTATCTTAGATTACTTTCAGTTCCATGTCCCCGTCCTTTTCCCCTAACGAAAATGATATCATCTTCTCCCGACAAGTGTCTGTGAAGCTTTCCTGACTAAGGGATGCCCCACTTCAGAACTGGCCATGCCGCCCGTTGTGAGGTTGTTGCTCTTCTGTACAACGTGCTGAGCTTCCTCTCCCCTCCCGCCACCTTCCTGGCTCCTCGGGCTCCGTTTCACTGGCCAGTAGGATCCATTCAGGTCGGAAGGCAGGTAATGAGCGGGCGCTTTCTCTTTGCACATGGTGCCTTGGTTCTCCCCTGCGTGGCCAGGAATCAGTCGGATGTCTCTAATGAAGGTGAGGGTGCGTGGAGCAGGCGGTTCTAGTCCAGCATGGCTGGAGTTCTCAGAGGGAGCACAGGGATGGGGGCACACAGGGCAATACTGGGGGAGGCAGAGGAGGGTGGGGATGTCCACAGCCAAGGAGGCCAAGGGGTCAGCCACTGGCAGGTGCGCCGTCCCTCAGCCTTCAGTGTGGGGAGCTTGCTGACCCTCCGTCTAGGATTCAGGCCTCCAGACGCTGTTGGAAATGGATTCTGTTGTTTAAGCTGCCTGGTCTCAGAGAAACCAAGGCAGGCGGCGAAGAGAGAGGACGAGGCACATGGCTGGGAGATGCAGGCGGAACGCACAGGGAGGGGCGCAGCATGGAGATGGATAAGGTACTACAGCTACCTGAGGCCCCGGGTGCCGCCCTCTGCCGGGGTCCTCGAGGCTCCAGAGCTGGTTCAGGGTCTCTGACTGGGAGCTGACGGCGCCGGGGGAGGGCAGCCCTCTGGCAATGTTCGGCGAAGGCTGTGGCGGCGCTAGGGCTTTCTGTAGGAAGTCTTCCCCTTTGTGTTTTGCTTTAGGATGTTCCTTCAAAGGCGAGGGTTGAGGACACAGGTGACTTACCCTAGATATTCCGTTTGGGTAAGAGCTCCGCTTCACTCCTGGTGGACATTGTCCTTGTTTGGGCGACATTTGCTTTGTGTCCTGAGAGTCTGCTGTACGCGTAGGATTCTGTCCAAAAACCGTGTCCATGCCTCCCTTCCCTGCCCCGTCCTCGCCGGGCCCGCTGGGTCTGCTCAGGCCGCCTTCCTCCGCCTTCCTCCGCCTTCCTCCCGCAGCACCGGCCTCAGAGTGGTAACTGCCCTTCTTGTCCCCACAGAGTGTGTAGGAGAGGCGGCGCCGAGGCTTCCCGATGAACAACCGGAAGGAAGATATGGAAATCGCGTCCCACTACCGGCACCTGCTGCGCGAGCTGGACGAGCAGAGGCAGCACGGCGTCCTGTGTGACGCGTGTGTCGTGGTCGAGGGCAAGGTGTTCAAGGCCCACAAGAACGTGCTGCTCGGCAGCAGCCGCTACTTCAAGACGCTGTACTGCCAGGTGCAAAAGGCGTCCGAGCCGGCCACGGTCACGCACCTGGACATCGTCACCGCCCAGGGCTTCCAGGCCATCATCGACTTCATGTACTCCGCCCACCTGGCCCTCACCAGCCGGAACGTCATCGAGGTCATGTCCGCGGCCAGCTTCCTGCAGATGACGGACATCGTACAGGCGTGCCACGACTTCATCAAGGCCGCGCTGGACATCAGCATCAAGCCGGACGCCTCGGACGAGCTCTCGGAGTTCGAGATGGCCGCCCCGCCCGGCAGCAGCGCCGATGCACTCCTCTCCGCCGTGATGGCCGGAAGGAGCATCTCCCCGTGGCTGGCTCGGCGCCCCAGTCCCACCAATTCTTCCGGAGACTCGGCCATCGCCAGCTGCCACGAGGGAGGAAGCAGCTACGGCAAAGAGGACCAGGAGTCCAAGGCCAACAGCGCCGACGACCTGTCCTCGCAGGCGCTGTGGCCCGGCGATGCGGGCTGCGGGCCTCTGCGCGTCAAGGAGGAGCAGAGCTCGCCCTCGCACTGCGGAGGGGGCGAGCCGCCCGCGGCCAGGGACGGCGCGGCGCAGAACCCTTTCTCTGAGCAGGCCGGAGGGGATGGCTGGCAGCCCACAGGTCGAAGGAAGAATCGGAAAAACAAAGAGACCGTCCGGCACATCACGCAGCAGGTGGAGGACGAGAGCCAGGCCGGGTCCCCGGTGCCAGCCTTCTCGCAGACGTCCGGCCAGCCCTTCAGTGGCCGTGACTCAGGTAAGCCTTTCCTTGTTCCCGGGGCCCAGTCATGGGGGGGGCGTGGCTGCCTGCTCCATAGACAAGGGACACATCCCCAGACTCACACGGTGGCTTCCCTGGGGTCTTTCTCGCAGCTGCTGTGCGGGCCAGTCTTCCCGCTGGCCGATGCTGTGTATCTGTTTCCCAGATGAGTGACTAGCAGTTACATTCCCCGAATGTCAGGTGCTCTTCCTGATGGCAACTCTGGTCATGCCGCCTTCTCAGGGGCCCCTGGAGGAACAAGCACCCTGGGACTCGAGGGCGGTGGTTAGGTTAGGGGAGTCCTCTCCAGGAAGAGGTTAGAAATCAGCCGAGCGAGTGGACAGAGAGGGGCAGAAGGCAGCAAACTGTGGGGTGATAAGTCCTGGAAAATCACAAATGCCGTGTGCTGGTGGAGGCCCCCGCGCCCCTGCCCGAGGGCTTCGGGGACCCTGGGGAGACCTGTTTCCCTCTCCTCAGGGGGAAGACTGCCCTCTGGCCCCGGGCACTGAAGCTCTCATCGCATCGCATCGCTGTCGTAAAAATGCGAACCACAATCGACAGCTTTGTAACCATTCTCAGTGTAAGGTTCACTGGCATTAAATATAGCCAGGTTGTTGTGCACCCACCGCTGTTTCCCAAACTTTCTCTCTATCCCCAAATTGCAACTCTGTATTCATTAAACAGTGGTGTCCAGGATGCACTGTAGCTTGACGGATTCCTCCTCAGCCTCACTGTACCCAGGTGGGTGCTGGGCTGACCAGGGTCTCGGCCTGGCTGGGTGACTCCATGTGGGGTGTCCTGGGATGTCAGCTGGTAGCAACCTGTCCCTGGTTGTGACAATCCAGACACTGCAAAGTCCTGGTAGGCAGCCCGAGCCTGCTGGAGCTGAGCCAGACTCAGTGAGGAGGAGACGGTGTCTGAGCCGATGGACACGCCACCTGTCCCCTGCTAGCGGGTAAAGATTGGGACGGGACGGCGGTGCCGGTCTGCTCCACACTCGGTGTCGCCGTCCGCCAGCTCTGATAGGACTGAAGAGCAGCAGCCCGGGGCGCGTGGCCGGGACAGAGGCTCGGCCCCAGACCGCTGAGGGTCCGTGCGAGGGCGCCTGCGCTGAGCTCCCGGAGGCCTGGGATGGGAGGCCGTCTGTGCCCGGAGACAGCAGCCTGCTGAGCTGTGGGCTTGAGGTTTGAAATGCGGTTATCAAGCAGAAGGTGTTTTTAGAATCCAACAAGTGATTTTGACTGTGTACTCTTGTTAATGTCTTCAAGCCCTTGGGTTACCAAGGCAACCATGAGCTGCTCCTGCTGGATTGTACTGAGTTGCTAAGACAGGACGGAGGCTGTGGGCTGGCGTGGGACTGGGCGGGAAGCGTGTGCTCCGCAGTGAGCACCCTTTGTTTTCGCGGGAGGGCTCCCGAAGCTTCGAGGAGACGTTCTCTCTCCGGCCTGTTCACAGGGAAAAGGCCTTCCCCAGAGGAGCCCGTCGTGTGGTTACCTCCAGTGCTCGCTCCGGGGTCCATCCAGCGGCAGCAGCCCGCCCTGACCCCTCTGTGCCCTCGGCATGCTGACTCTTGGGCCTATTACTGCTTCGAGTATTTGTTTCTGAGCTAAAGGCCAAATGCATTCTAGCCTGGTGGCTTCCAGGGAAACATCCTGAGTCACGTGTGATGTGTGTGTAGGTCGTGGGAGTAGCATTGACACGTGTAGACACGTGTGATGTTCTGGGTCCAGAGGGACCTTATGCCAGACCTGTTGTCCCTCGTCTCCTCGTGTCCCAGCCTCACCCGGCCTGGACCCCAGGAGGCGGGCTTGTAGCCCCGGGCAGGAAGAGCCCAGGGCCTTGCGCCAGGCATCCCCACAGCCCGGGCAGGGTGCTGGGCAGGCTGAGGCTGGATGTAGTGACATAGATGTCCGCACTGAGCCGAGGACGGGACGTCCTGGGCGCCTAGGGCTGCAGAGCAGCTGCTGTTGGGTGCCGGCTGCCACGCCCGCCGCAGCCTCTCCGGCCCAGTCCGACCTCCCAGCCCTCCGGGTGGTCCGGGCTGAGGGGGGCTGGTCCGGGCTGCGGGGGGCTGGTCTGGGCTGAGGGGGGCTGGTCCGGGCTGAGGGTGGCTGGTCTGGGCTGATGGGGGGCTGAGGGGAGCTGGTCCGGGCTGAGGGGGGCTGGTCCGGGCTGAGGGGGGCTTGTCTGGGCTGAGGGTGGCTGGTCTGGGCTGAGGGGGGGCTGAGGGGAGCTGGTCCGGGCTGAGGGGGGTTGGTCCAGGCTGCGGGGGGCTGGTCTGGGCTGAGGGTGGCTGGTCTGGGCTGATGGGGGGCTGAGGGGGGCTGGTCCGGGCTGAGGGGGGCTGGTCCGGGCTGAGGAGGGGCTGAGGGGGGCTGGTCCGGGCTGAGGGGGGGCTGAGGGGAGCTGGTCCGGGCTGAGGGGGGGCTAAGGGGGGCTGGTCGGGCTGAGGGGGGCTGGTCCGGGCTGAGGGTAGCTGGTCTGGGCTGAGGGGGGCTGGTCTTGCTGAGGGGGGCTGGTCTGGGCTGAGGAGGGGCTGAGGGGGGCTGGTTGGGCTGAGGGGAGCTGGTCCGGGCTGAGGGGGGGCTGATGGGAGCTGGTCCGGGCTGAGGGGGGGCTGATGGGAGCTGGTCCGGGCTGAGGGGGGCTGGTCCGGGCTGAGGGGGGCTGGTCTGGGCTGAGGGGGGGCTGAGGGGGGCTGGTCCGGGCTGAGGGGAGCTGGTCCGGGCTGAGGGGAGCTGGTCCGGGCTGAGGGGGGCTGGTCTGGGCTGAGGGGGGGCTGAGGGGAGCTGGTCCGGGCTGAGGGGGGCTGGTCCAGGCTGCGGGGGGCTGGTCTGGGCTGAGGGTGGCTGGTCTGGGCTGATGGGGGGCTGAGGGGGGCTGGTCTGGGCTGAGGGGGGCTGGTCCGGGCTGAGGAGGGGCTGAAGGGAGCTGGTCCGGGCTGAGGGGGGGCTGAGGGGGGCTGGTCCAGGCTGAGGGGGAGCTGGTCCGGGCTGAGGGGGGGGGATGAGGGGAGCTGGTCCGGGCTGAGGGGGGGCTGAGGGGGGCTGGTCCGGGCTGAGGGGGGGCTGAGGGGAGCTGGTCTGGGCTGAGGGGGGGCTAAGGGGGGCTGGTCGGGCTGAGGGGGGCTGGTCCGGGCTGAGGGTAGCTGGTCTGGGCTGAGGGGGGCTGGTCTTGCTGAGGGGGGCTGGTCTGGGCTGAGGAGGGGCTGAGGGGGGCTGGTTGGGCTGAGGGGAGCTGGTCCGGGCTGAGGGGGGGCTGATGGGAGCTGGTCCGGGCTGAGGGGGGGCTGATGGGAGCTGGTCCGGGCTGAGGGGGGCTGGTCCGGGCTGAGGGGAGCTGGTCCGGGCTGAGGGGGGCTGGTCTGGGCTGAGCCTGTGGCCTCCCCTCTTGTCCCTCCCGGAAGGTCTGGCCACAGTGCAGTCCTCCGGAGAAGCTGGCACTGCCGTGTGTGTTCACGGATGGGCCAGTGCTCAGCACGCCGGCTGGTTTGGTGACCTCCGTGTGGAGAACCAGCTTGTTTAGGGTGGTATTTGGGGGAAGTGCATCTGAACGAAAAGTAACGTGCATGCTGCCAGCAGCCCATGGGGTGGGGCTGGCCCTGTCTCCGGCCGCCCGGATCAGTGCTGTGCCCGCACTCCGCCCGTCTGAGCGGGCGACCCGGGCTCCCACAGACAGCGCCCTGTGGGATGGACGGGTGGCACTTGGGGAGGGCACAGGGCGGGGCAGGCTGGCACGACCTCAGCAAGGAGAGCGGTGGGGGGGGGCGTGCCCTGCACCCCGCGCCTCCTGGCTCGTGCTTCTGTGGCCTGTCCACGGGCCACACTTTGGAATCATCGCCTGCACTCACCCTGGGCTTTGCTGAGCAGCCAATGTAGTTGCTTTTCCTGCTCAGGGGGCCTCCTCTCAGAGCTGGGGTGTCCCTGTCACCCTCCCACCAGAGGGCGCTGGAGGAAGAGCTCACCAGGCATCCCCATGCGTTCTGGGCGGACGAGGGACAAGGCCCTGGGCAGCGCCCGTGGTTGGCGTCCTCTGCGGCCTGAAACGGCCGCCCTGACCGGCCTCTGGCCGGCGGGCGCTGCGCTGCGCTGTGGGGTGAGCCTCTGGGCGCTCGCGCCAGCTGTCTCGTGCTCTCACTTCTCCTGAGCGAAGGCCTCGGCGCGGAGTGGCTGAGGGGCGGCTTCTGGGTCATCAGGAACGGCCAGCTCTTTCTCTTAAATGTGTTCTTACTGGTTTCAGAGAGGAAGGGGGAGAGAGATGGAAACATTAGTGAGGAGAGAGAATCATCTATCAGCTGCCTTTTCATACCCCCATTGGGGGTGGAGCCTGCGGCCCGGGCCTGAGCCTGACTAGGAATTGAACCCGGGCTTCCTGGCTCTCGGTGGACCCCCTGCTCTGCGCTGAGCTGACGGCCTGCAGGCTTTTCTAAGTGGAAAGCGAGTGGGTTTGGGCGGCCCCACAGCCTCTGTAGCTCGGCCCATTGTCTGTCTTTTTAATTTTTATTTATTTTTTTTAATCTTCACCCCAGGATGTTTTCATTGATTTTCAGAGAGAGAGGAAGGGAGAAAGATAAACATCAATGTGAGAGGGTTGCCTTCCATATGCACCACAACTGGGATCAAACCCACAACCTAGATATGTGCCCTGACTGGGAATTGAACCCTCAACTTCCCAGTGTATGGAACAATGCTCTAGCCACCTGAGCACCTAGCCAGAGCTGCCTTTTTGTTGTTAATCCTCACCAAGGACATTTCCCCATTGATTTTTAGAGAGTGTGGAAGGGAGGGGAAGAGACAGAGAGAGAGAAACATTGACTGGCTGCCTCCCACAGGGGAACCTGCAACTGAGGTACATACCCTTGACCGGAATAGAACCCGTAACTCTTGAGTCCACGGGCCGACACTCTAAACACTGCACCAAACTGGCCAGGGCCCTCCCCTCCCCTTCCCTTTCCTTTCACTGTATTCTTAATTTTAATCACTCTAGTGAGTGTGTTTGATGGGTTTTGGCAGATGTCACACCTCTGTTGTGAGGAGAGAGACCATTTCCACCACCAAGAATGCCCCCTCCTGCCCTTTCCGCCAGCCCTCCCACCACCTGTGTCCTCCCAGCAGCCCCTCCGGACGCCTCCCAGCGGCCAGCTTGAGCAGTGCAAGCACAGAGCTCACTTGGAGACAATGGCACGGTAGATGGCGACCTGTTGTAAGCAGTGATGGGAGGCAGCCTGTGCTCCTTTGCGCGGTCCCCAGGATGTCATCGTGCAGACCACAGCCAGCCCCCGGCGCAGGCCCCGTCCACGCTGTGACGTGCTCCGAGTCCCCTTCCTGTGGCGTGGCGTCCACGAGTCACCCTGTGCTGCTGGGCGCCCTTCTGCCCTGGCTGTCAGCCGACCCCTTCACTCAGCTGCGGGCCGTGCGGTCATTTTGGAGATTTTGGCTGTGACACCCAAAGCTGCTGTGGGCCCGGGCCAGCCTGTGGCCTCTCACCTCCTCGGTGTCCGCTCCGGCGGCGGGCGGCTCAGGAGGTCCTGCCGGCGGGCAGCGTGTTTGTGGGCGTGGCTGGCTGCCAGCACCTCCTGTGGGGACCTTGTCTGCTTGTCACTGCTGAGCTGACAGTTCCTGTGCTTTCTCTCCCAGTCTTTGGCTCATTTTTTAGTTCACACTGTCTTTTGAGGAGCACACAATTAAAATTTCAACAAAGTACAATTTGTGAACTTCTTTTATTGTGGTTCACGCTTTCTGGGTGTCCTAGCTAAGAAGTCTTTGCCTAAGATCACAAAGGTGCCCTCCAGGAGGTTTCGCTGGAGTCTGTAGATTTAGGGGGAAAGGTGGTCTGTGAGCGAGGTGCAGCCCGAGCCTGCAGGCCCGGGGCGCAGCGAGAGCGGGTCCAGCGGGGCCTTCTCGGCCGGGCGTGTCCTGGACGGGCGCAGAGGGGTGGGCTGACAGGAAGCGTGTGGCCCTGGCGGCTCCCCGCCTGGAGAGGCTTGAAGTGACCTGCAGTTCTGTCTCCTCCCAGATGCAGACCTCACCGTTGCCGAGGCCAGCAGCTCCGACAGCCGTGGGGACAGGGTGGACCTCTGTGCCCACGTGGACGAGGGCTTCCTGGGGGCAGAAGCCAGCTACCTGGGCCGGCCCCTCACCCCCGAGAAGGACGAGGCGCTGCAGCAGGCCACCGCGGTGGCCAACCTGCGGGCGGCGCTCATGAGTAAGAACAGCCTGCTGTCCCTCAAGGCCGACGTGCTCGGGGACGACAGCGCCCTCCTGCTGGAGTACCTGCCCAAGGGCACCCACTCCCTGTCTCGTAAGTGCAGGCCCGCCGCTCTGTGTGATTCCGAGTGGAGGGGAGCAGAGGGCGGCAGGCCACGGGGTGGGGGTGGGGCGGGGGTGGGGTGTCGTGCGTGGGGCTGGCGACCAGCCCTGGGTCCAGGTGCCCTCAGACCCCCCTCCCGAGGTCGCCAGGAGGTCACAGCTGTGGGGCTGTCAGGGCAATAGGGAGGGCAGTGCGTGCTTGTTCAGACAGTTCCTACCATGTTTCTCCGAAAATAAGACATCCTCCAAAAATAAGACCTAGCGCATGGAAAGATAAGACATCCCCTGAAAATAAGACCTAGTGCAACTTTGGGAGAAAAAATTAATATAAAACACTGTCCTATTTTCGGGGAAACAGGGTACTTGAAATCGAGGATCTAAACCTAAAACCTGCTCGAGCTCAGACATGGACGGAGCGGTGAGCGGCTGGGGCACAGCCCTGTGCGGCCAGGAGGGGCAGGGGCAGCTGCGGCTCCCGCCCGCCCACCCCCCGGGAGGTGGGAGGCCGGGGGCTCGGTGTGTTTGCTCGGGTGACGCTTGCCACACAGGTTGTGGAAAAGCACTGGGGTGCTGTGCTAAGTGCCCCTGGGTTCCAGGTGCTCGGAGCGATGGCCCTGAGGCCTCCGGCAGCACCGGGCCGGCTGTGCGCCCGCCTGCCCCATGCCCGTGCGTGTCCGCGTCACGGGCGTTCTGGGGCTGGTGGCCGCTCCGTGGGCGGCTCTGAGGTGCTCCCGAGACCGCGTGTCTGGCCGCTCTCCTGGGGGGAGGGACCCCCAAGCAGGAGGTGCCCCGAGCCAGAGGGCACTGAGCGCCGCGGGGAGGATGCTGCCAGCGTGGCCGGGCCCTGGGAAGCGTTGTTTTCAAAAGCAATATTTATAACATGGTTTTCATGAGCAAAAATACTCAGGTGTTTGTGTCAGAGTGATGAAGGCTGCTGTGGCCAATAAAGACTAACACTGGACAATGACGTTTAGTCCGTTCATTTCCGCTCCGGCCGGAGCCGGGCTGTGGTCGGCCTGGGGCTGTTCTCTGCACCTGGAGTGGGGTGTCTCCAACGCGGCATCTGAGCCTGGAGCAGCGTCTGCCGGGGTGCTCCGTGGGCAGGTGTCAGCTCAAGGAGCCATGGATGGGGGCCTGTTCCCAGTCTAGGGCATGTGTCTGGGTTGCAGGTTCCAACCCCCACCCCTGATTGGGGCTCACGCGGGAAGTGACCAATCCATGGTTCTCTCACATCAAGGTTTCTACTGTCTCCCTCCCTTCACTCTCTCTAAAAAGCAGTGGAAAAATATCCTCAGGTGAGGATTAACAATAAGTAGGTAGGTAAATAAGTAATAAATAAATAAAACAAAACAGCGCTGTAAAACGCCAAACACTAAGCTGGGCGTGAGCGAGTCACTGCAGGTGCCAGCCCTTCAGCGTGCACACCGGGCAGAGCAGCCGATGGTGCCGGGGCGGGACCCGAGGTGTTGCCCGTGGCCTTTGGGCGCCTGGCATTGACACTCGGCAGGTCCAGCAGCTGGACACCAGCCGGGGTGGCAGGGCAGGGTGTGTGGGTGTGAGGAGGGCAGGCTGGGCCCGGGGCTGCGACAGCAGCCTGTGCTGCCCTCCTGTGGCTAACCTGCCCTGGCCTCCAGGAAGGAGCTTGGGGTGACTTGCTGCTTTTCTGCCGTCTCTGTCTCTCCGTCTGGCAGCTTTCTCCCAGCGCGCATTTGCCACATCTGTGCTTTGAGGGGGCCCCAGGGCCCACCAGCCCCCAAGCCCCAACTTCCCACCTCCTCGTGGGCGGGTCGTCGTGTGCCAGGCCTGACGGGGCTCCGGGACCGGGGCTGCGGCCGCTGGGGTGGCATCTCCCGGCCACCGGTTTCTGCACCCGCCCCACCCCCGCAGAGGCCTCCATCCCCCTCACGGCAGTCCCACGCCGAGGGGGTCACGGGACGGGGGGACCCCAGACTTCTCTCTTCAGGTCTTCCTCTCGCACACGCGCTCCTGTGCGCCCGCGCCCGGGCCTGAGCGCACACGTGAGTCCCGCCAGGCCGGGCCTGCAGCAGGGAGCCTCGCCTCCGTGTCTGAAGCCGGGCAAGGCTCCATGTCCCATTTCTGGGTGCTTTGCCCTCCTTGCTTTTGATATTCTAAATCCACTCCTTTCCTCACGAGAACCTACCATTTGCTTCTGTAAATGGAGTGGGAAGTTGGCAGAGCTCGTGGGCTGGGCTGTGGATGGTGACCTGGACTGTGGATTCGACATCTGGCTGCCACCACTCAGTGGTCAGAGCGGCCAGCCCGGGAGCTGCCAGGACGGTTACTTTGACACGTGATACGCTGTCATCCCAGTGAAACTGCCTGTTCCTCCCGGCCGGTGTTGCTCAGTGGTTGAGCATCGACCTATGAATTAGGAGGTCAGGGTTCAGTTCCGGGTCAGGGCACAGGCCCTGGCTGTGGGCTCGATCCCCAGTGTGGGGCGTGCGGGAGGCAGCTGATGGATGGTTCTCTCTCATCAGTGATGTTTCTCTCCCTTCCTCTATGAAATCAATAAAAACATATTTCAAAAAACAAACAGCCAGCCCTGGCCAGTTTGGCTCAGTGGATGGAGCATCGGCCTGCAGACTGAAGGGAACTAGGTTTGATTCTGGTCAAGGGCATGTACCTCAGTTGTGGGCTTGATTCCCAGCCCTGGTCGGGGCGCATGTGTGAGGCAACAGATTAATATGTCTCTCTCACATCGATGTTTCTCTCTCTGTCTCTCCCCCTCCCTTACTCTCTCTCTAAAAAATTTAATGGAAAATTACTCTCAGGTGAAGATTAACCGAAAACAACAATAACAAAATAACAACCAAAAAATAAATTAATTAAAAGCTGCTTGCTTCTGGCCTGCGTGGATGTCGTTTCCCCAAACACTCGGTGCAGAGCCCAGGCCTGTCTCCGCGGTGTTGTCCTGGGCCGCGGGCGGGCCGGCAGCTCCATCGAGGGAATGCCCGCGACTTGGGCGCCGGGCTGAGACCCGTGCTGAGTGGGGCCTCTCCCAGGGACCCTCACCGGCCTGCAGACCTCGACCCCGGGGAGCCAGGATGGCGCACGCTTGGGAGGGACCCGAGGACACGTTTGCAGAAAGAAACAGCCTCGCTCCGGCCGCACAGCGGAGGCCTCGCCCTGCTCCCGAGGACAGCGCCGTCTCCCACCTTCCCGGCCGGAGGGGCGTCGTGGTGCTGGCTGCGTCTGGTCAGGGCACAGTTATCCATCGCAGAGACCTGAGGGAACCATGCGCGCCGCAGCTGGAGCCCAGTCCTTGCTGGCTGGTTCCGGATCCTTCCACACAGGGCCTGTTTCCAGAGCCCGAGTCCGCAGGCAGCCCTCCCCAGCCCGCAGCGCTCACCCACTTCTCCCCGAGGAGGCTCTGCAGTTCTTTCTCTGCCCCGGTGACCTTGCCTCACGTTTATGCCAGCTCAGCAGCTGAGTCCCTGTTAGGCGTTTCTGTCCACTGAGTGGAAACCATGAGGAGCACTGCTCGTGGCTCAGAGCGCGGCCCTGGGGGGCGGGCAGGGACCTGACCTGGGTGCTGCCTTCTCGGGCCTAAAAATGCCGTTCGCACCGGGTCCCTGGCCAGTCTCCTGGGAACTCTTTTCAGATAAGCCAAGTTGGGGGCAGGGTGCGGGGGGAGTCCTGGTGCCTTGTGGGACCCCACGTTGTCCCCCCTGCTGAACGCCTGCCGAGCGGGGTGGGGGTGGGGGTGGGGGCTCTGCAGTGGCCCTGGGGACGGGGGAGCTGTGGCTGCCCAAGTTCAGGTTGTGGTTTGGGGCCCGTTTCCTGTGTTTTAAGGGCTGGGGCTCCAGGTTCTGACACACCCGGAATTTTAGTTTCTTGTGGAAGGGTGCTGGCTGTGAGCCCACTTTGAGAAAAAGCCAGCTCGACCCTGTGACACTCGCTCTCCGGACTTTCGGGGTAATCAGCCAGCAGACAAGTCAGGTGTGGAGCCCCTGGCACCCTGGTGCCGGAGGGAAGCTGAGAAAAGCACCGCCCGGCGAGCCCCAGGCCGCAGCGTGCCTGTGGTGCTCCCCACGGAAGGTCCCGGGGCGCCCACCAGCCGCTCCTCCCAGGCTGAGCCCAGCTTCCTGTTCCCAGGACCTGACACCGGCCCAAGTCCCAGGGACTGGTGAGCGAGCCGCCCCTCCACGATGGCCAACCCCAGCCCCGAGGAGCGGCCTCCGCTGGTGAGGCAAACAGCGAGGGCTGCCTGTCAGCTGTCCCTGCGTCTTGGCATTTCCAAGTCCCTGCGCCCCGCGCCCCAGTCCAGTAAACAATGATTGCTGCGCACCTCTGCAAGAAAGCCTCCCTCACTTTCCAACCTGATGGCAGACAGTCCAGCTTCTCCCCATAGGAGTGTGGGTCCCCAGAGTCTCACCAGAAACTGGAGTTCAGGCTGAAAAAAGCAGCGCACCCAGCCGCCAGCCGCCAGCCCGATTCCCGCCTCCAAGCCTCAGCTTGTGCATGTCCTACCCGGTCTCAATGCTCCCCTCTCTTTCCTTTTCGTTGTAGAACTTCTACTCAGCCAGCTTCCCCATGGTTCTGGATGATAGATGTTTTGTCTTTTAGTTGTAGTTTTGGTGTGGTTGGGAGAGGCAGCACGTACAGGTATATACCTTATGCTGCTCTCTTGGTTTCCCATAGCATAGGTTTTAAATCTTTCCTGTTTCTTATGTAAAGGAAGGTCTGCTGCCCTGGTGGTGGCTCAGTGGTTGGGTGTCGACCCAGGAACCAAGAGGTCCGAGGTTTGATTCCTGGTCAGGGGACATGCCCTGTGGGGGGCATGCAGGAGGCAGCCAACCATGATTCTCATCATTGATGTTTCTGTCTCTCTCATCCTCTTTCTCTCTCAAAACCAATAAAAACATTTTTTTAAAGGTTTGATCCTGAGGAAAAGTAAGTCTTGAAGAGGAGCTGAACCATGATTTTTTATTTTGGAATTAACAGTGTTATTCCTCCACAGTCCTTTCCAAC